CCGCGTGCCCAGCTCCCACAGCGCAAGCCCCGTGGCGCTGGCCAGCGGTGCCCTTCCCCCCACGGCCGTGGGGCCCTGCATGGCCTGGCGCGCACGCCAGCAGCACTGGCCAGGCCAGCCTGGGCAGCAAATGTGCCGTGCACCCCGGGAGCGGGCCCCGGGCTGTGCACCAGCGGCCGTGGCCAGCCCATGCATGTGACATTTCCACTACATGCATCTGATGAAATTTCCACTACATGCATCTGACGAAGTGGGTCTTTGCCCACAAAAGCGTATGCTCCAACACTTCTGTTAGTCTGTAAGATGCCACGTGTGTATGTGTTAGCAGAGATGGTTTGATGTTGGCATTAATTCTTGGCCTTGATAATAAAAACAGCAAAATGTGCTTAAAAGAATACGAAACAAAGTCTCCAGTGATAGTAAGAACCTGATTTTCAGCCGTGAGCGCCATCATCTGAATTTGTGGATACAGGGCACCTGTGAAAATCAAGTCCCAAAGGGAGACTTCAGTTTCGATTTTAAAACATAAGAATCGGATGAGCATAAGGTCACTGTTATGATGACTGGTAAAACAGAAATGACTTGAAGAGGCTATAATAGTCTGTATTCCTATGTCCCCTTCTCCTGCAAAACTGTAATGGATTTTGTACAAAGTATACCTTGTGAGGTACCTTTTGAAAACTCATAATTTGCTGATCATTATTGTTCTGATAAAATATATGTGGCAACCTTGTATATAAAATTATAGGAGACTTCTATAGTATGTTACTAACATTTTCTAAGGCCATGTCTACATTCCTACTCACGTTGGGATAGCTCATGTTGCTCAGGGGTGTGGAGAAAAACCAACAGCACATCCTGAGCAACATTGTTTCACCAGCCTATGTGGAATGTGCATAGCTTGTGGATAGCCAACACAGCTACTGCACTCATTGTGGATGATTTGATTATGTTGACATAGAGTGACATCACAAGAGACCTTACAGCATCAGTAAAATATGCCATTGTAAGCTTTTCATGGTGAGATAGTGAGATACCTTCAAAGAAAGAGAGCGAACGGATGTCGCAGGCAGGTGTCAGCAAAATCAAATTGACTATTTCATGGTTATCACCTGGTATCAGCTGAAGTCTCCCCCTCCTCCCCCCCCCCGCACACATACATATACACTGACTGTCTCCTGGCTTTTTCAGAGAAAAAGAGAGCTATAAACAAGGAGAAGAGAGGCCCTGAATAGACATCTTCCTTCATCTCTGCTCATGATATTAATGACACCCAGAGGACAAGGAAATTAATACTAAACTAGGGAGAAAGTCGTGGTTGAAAGGATTCCAGGGTTGCAAGAACCAATCCTGTAGCTTTGCACCCATCTTTTTATATGTTTTAGTCCATAGATTCTGTCCTGTCCCATGGCCCCAGGGTGCTGTAATACCATGAGTCATCAGTTAACGGCGCGTGCACACACACACACATACACACAACTTTGAACAGAGTTAAGGTAGGACAAAGTTTCAAACTGGGGTTCCAGTTATGGTATGGAAATGTATTAACAGTTTAAAATGGAGGTTCAGTTATAATAACAGATTTATTCCAAGACTACAAACAAATTCATTCAAAACTGGTTAACACCGTTTCATTTATAAAATCCAGTTTGTAAAAATTGGCCCACAATTCATGAGGTTTAACGTCATATTAGAAAAACTTTAAAAAACAACGAATAGTCTCCTAGCACCCCACTTCTTCAGATGACTGGAGTATTGAAAGACTCTAGATACTCCATTCATCTGAAGAAGTGGGTTGTGCCCACAAAAGCTCACAATACCATCTATAAGTTTGTTAGTCTTTAAGGTGCTACTCGACTATTTGTTATTTTTAAGTTTTTCCAGTTCCAGACTAACTCGGATACCTCTCTGAAGCTTTTAAACATCATATTCGTCATTTATAATTCATTAACAGGGCTATTTCATCCTTACCCCAGGCAGTAACAAAAGACAGGACTATGTAGCACTTTAAAGACAGCTACATCTCTATTACTTATTCCCTAGGCAGTAAGACTGCTAAAGCGAATGGTGAGAGAAACCTTTTCTTTGATTTCAATGAACTTTTGTTAAAATTAGGTATGTGATCCGTTTTATCTATTTACTTTTTGGGAACAAACATTGACTTCTATGCTGCATTACTTGAAGTTGTTTAACATCTATCTTTCTGTAGCTAATCAACTTGCTTTATTAAACCAATGAGTGGTTGTATTGAAGTGCTGTGTGATTTGAATGTGCTTAGTGCTTTGTGATTGAAGTGCTTAGTGATTTGAGATAACAAAAGTGCAGATCATTATCTATTAATGAAACGAGGGCCTCTCTATGAGTTTGTTTTGTCAAGGAGGGTGCTGGGCAGTACAAGATACATTTCTGGGCACAGGGGAGATTGGATTTGGCTGGTATTGCCCGACGAGTAATTCATGGGTGACATGACACTCATGCGATAAAGCTGGTGGTGACTTAAACCAGGTCTATAGTAGGGGAGAAAGTCAACCTAAGATACGCAACTCCAGCTAGTGTAGCTGGAGTCAACTTTCCTTACTCCTCATGAGCTGTTGGAGTATCAGAATTGCCAGGAGCACATACAGCAATCGATTTAGCAGGTCCTTACTAGACCTGCTAAATCGAACCCCAAGAGATCAGTCTCCACAGTGTGGCTCTCCCGATAAGGACCAGCCCTTACCTGCTGGAAGCTATAAAGGGGCACTCCAGGAGTAGTTGCTTTCACAGTGAAGCAGTGTAAAAGGCCCCTCAAGTTGGGGCGATGAGGGCACACAGTCCAGATTGTAACTCGGGGAATGTCACAGGAGCCCAAAGCCACTTCTAAAGGAAGCTACTCCTTGGCTTGCAGGGGCTTGGATGTATTTGTTTTCCAGCCAAAGTGTAAGATGTTAGTTTTGACCTAAAGGCCCAGCTCAGTTGTAGCTGCTTAGACCTGGGCAAACAATATGTAAATGTTGTCATGAAAAATATCAACGTTGTTTCCATTTCTCGAGGCTGGAAAAAGACCCCCTTATAATTTTTTTTTAATCAAATTTTGTTTTTATTCAATATCAGTTTTATCAATGGTTTATTTGCTGTCAGGAATAGGGAAAGCTTCTGTGTCGGTTATCAAATTTAATCAAATTGTGGGAAATAATAGGTTTTAAAATGTTTTCTCTTTTAAAAAATACCCACAGCTCCTGAAGTTTTTCGTTTTTGATGACAGAGGGGGAGGAACTCCGCTCTAAAGATTTCACTTAGCCCTCCGGTTGCTAACTACTGCTGCAATACCAGGTCATAACAGCTGCCACTAATGTTACTGTGGTATTTTTTCGGTAACACTGTTCTGAGCATTGGTGTAGGTAGTTCACTCAGCTTTCTGAGGATAATCATGTTTACACTGGTATTGAAGCAGGTGGAAACGACTCTAGATAGAATCAGCTCCACAGTGATTTACATGGCTGCAAAGTGGGTGTGAAATGCTACCATATCAGAAGAGTGTAAAGACTGCATGAAGTAACCCTGAATCTGTTAAACAGTGGTGTTACCAGATGTCTGCTCGTAGCATGCACAGTGCTGTTCTTTCAAAGTGTTTTCCTGCTCTAGACTGAAGCGGGGATTTTCGCTGAGGTAAGCTTGGAGTTTCTCCCATTGCGCAACTAGCTCGTTCCCAGCCACCGGCTCATAGAACTGTACACTTGAAATAGAGCCTAGATTTAGAAGCTGTAATTTACTCATTTCACTCTGCTGTTCCATCTCTGACAAGCTTCAGGATCCGGCAAATTCTGATTTGTGCCAGATCCGTTCTATGGCCAGAACCCTGAAAATGCAATCTGACCTCTCTGAGGAAGGGCATAATTTCACCTCGAGCTGCTTCTGAGAGCCCTGTGAGTCACGAGTTGCTTTGGCAGGGGTTAAGGACAACGGCGGCAGATGACGCAAGGCCTGACTCAGAAGGTGTTAGAACAACCACTCCTTTCATTTCTATACATGAAGACGTTTTGTTACCGTTGCGTATTGCGATGGGATAGTTTCTACAGCAGGAGAGTTACCCCCAAAAAGAGATGATCCTGGGAAAACGGAGGCAGGTGGCTTTGATGCTGGCAGGCCAGGTGCCAGCTAGGGATGTTAAATTTAGATTCATTAACTATGGGATTTCCACCGATTATTCGATTAGTTGATAAGGGCGCCTCCATCTTTGCACGGTAGCAACAGCCCTGCCGGGCTCTCATTTCCTATTCAAATATCTGTATATCGGCTACAAGAATGGTCTTTGGTAGGAGACCATTGACCTCGGGTAAGCGACGTAACCTGAATATTGCTGTGAGATGTGGTATAAGAGACCATCTATCACAAAAGTCGGCTTGTTTAGGTAACAAGCTACGTCAAAGACAATATTGACTCAGTTTCCTTGGTCTCCCCCATCTGTCTCTTCACTTAGACCAGAGATGGGCAGTCATTTTTGAAGGGGGGGGTCTCTTCACAAATTTCTGAAGTGGCTGTGGGCCACCCTGGAAGGGGCGTGGCCTCGGGCAGAAGAGGGCGGGGCCAGAGGCTACCAATGCTCCCCCCAGTCCCAGGCTAATAAGGGCCTGGCAGCTCGCGTCCCTGCCAGGGGCGCATGGTGCCTAGAGGGAACCATCAGCTGTTTTGAACAGCTGACGGCTCCCTCTAGTGCCGTGTGTCCTAGTGGGGGAGGCGATTTCTCATGCTCCCCCATCCCCAGGCCTCAGTTGACCTGGTGGGCAAAGGGGCGGCAGGGTAGCTGTTGGCCATATCAGCCGGCTTGGCAGGCCGCATCTGACCCATGGAAGCTCTCTTGCCCACCCCCGACTCAGCCTGTAAGCTCTTTGGGGCAGGTACCATCATTGTATTCAGGGTTCTGTACAGCAGCCCGGACAATGGGCAGACATGGTCCATGACAGACACAACTTTTAATAGTTATTAACAACTAATATTTCAGAGCATGACCGTTGGGCACCTGGAAGTCCTATTGCTGCTTCCACCAGCCACTTGCTGTGGCACCAGGATGCTTTCTCCAGAGAGAACGACTGAGGTTGGGATAGTTTTTATCTACCTACGGGGTGAAGCAAGTGGATACTGTTTGTACAGAGCTTTCAACACAAGGTGCTCCGTCCACGGGTGTGAAGGGAAGGAGTCAGGGCAGGTGTTTAGAATGGGTGAGCCCACTCCCAGACCTCACAGAAGTGTTCACATGACACCGGATCCATCTCAAAAGTGGATTAATGATTCACTCACCGCAGAAGTGTTCACATGACACCGGATCCATCTCAAGAGCGGATTAATGATTCACCCACCTGGCAGGAGTTTCCACCTGCAGAACCTGCTTTGCCGGAGGCAAACTCTGCACTTCTATCATCCCCTCTCTGGAAACGACACGATTACCATTTAAGGATCTAACGCCAGGGCAGGCAGAGGACCTCTGCCTATGTTTATCTTTCATGGACCAGCTGGATTCGCGCCTCCTACGCCTGCTCCACACAGGCCTTATCACTCAGCAAAGAATGCTCTGAAAGCCACAGTCACTCTACCAGGCATGCATCGTGAGTAGTGCAAGCCAGTGAAGAAAAACTGGCATAAAACTGACTTGTGGGAGGGGGGAATCAGGCCTCCCGTGTGTCACCAAGGTCTGTTGCAAAGGGCTTGAATGGAGCTGGTTTTGGACCCCAAGCCACATCCCACCTTCTCATTTCTCTAGCTCCAATTCAAAACAAAAGTGTGTGTTTGCACAACACACGTACTCTAATAACCTCTTAAAACAGGACCCCCACCAGGACAAAAACACCAGTGAGCCAATATTCTGCTCCCAGCAGTGACCAAGACTTGGGGCTGTCCTGGAAAGTGTAAAATGCCAATCATGGATGACTCCGTAATAACCTGCCCATAGGGTCAAGTATCAGAGGAGTAGCCGTGTTAGTCTGAATCTGCAAAAGCGGCAAGGAGTCCTGTTTCTTCTTCACCTTGAACAGTGAGTGGTTAACCTTGTGGGAATTTTCCCTTCTTACTTTGTATATGAGAGTCTTACTTTTTTCATGAATATTGTGTGTGTCTCCGTTTCCCCGAGTATTGCACAATGGCAACCTGTGGAACTCCTTGCCAGAGGAAATTGTGAAGACCAGGACTTGAATAAGGTTCCAAAAAGAACTATATACATTCATGGAGGTTAGGTCCATAAAAACTTATTAGCTAGGAATGGTGTCCTTCCTCTCTGTATGACAGAGGCTGGAAATGGATGACAGGAGAGGGATCACTTGATGATTCCCTCTTCTGGTCACTCCCTCTGGGGCATCTGGCACTGGCCACTGTCAAAAGACAGGACACTGGGCGAGATGGACCTTTAGTCTGACTCAGTCTGGCTGCTCTTATGTTCTGATGTCTAGAACAGGCAAATATTCTTTGGAGCTGGTGATCGGCTTCTTTGTGGGAAGGTCTCTGACTTCACTAGAGAGAATTCTTTCCCAGGCATTTGGCCGGTGGGTCTTGCTGAAATACTCCTGGTCTAACTGAGCCCATGTGTGAGGGTGGGAAGGAATTTTTCCCGGGGCCAGATGTGCAGAGCCCTGGGAGTAGGGCGTGGGGGAAAGTCACTTTCCTCTGCAGTATGGACCCTGGGCCACTGGCTGGGTTCACCCCGTGTGAGTGGTGGAGTCTCCATAACTTGATGTCTTTGAAGCAAGATTTGAGGGCTTTAGTAACCAGCCAGGGATGACTAACAGGACCGGGTGGGTGACGTGCTGTGGCAACGTGCAAGTGGTCACACCAGAGGATCATGATGGTCCCTTCTGTCTGAGTCCATGAAACCTGCTTTGTGGCTGCTCTGGGACTCCTGACCCCAGCTCTGACCATGACTCTGAATCCTAGTCATGGACTGCCACTCATCTGACTGCTAGGCATGACTGCCCATGCTAGGAGTCTGAGAGGGCTTTGTTTGGAGAGGGGGTGGTGTTTGCCAACAGAAAAACTCCTTCTGCCCGTGTGGGCTGCATCTAAGCTAGGGGCCATGCCAACATAGGCTCTGGGGTACAAACACACCCTCAGCTTCTGTGTAAAGAGTGTTTCAAGTCCTCAGGTTTGCAGAGAAAGGGCAGAAAACATGACGCGAGTGTGTCCTCAAGGCTCAGAGAGCAAAGGCACATAAAAAGACCCCAAACAAATTATTTATTTCTCTTCAAACTCATTATTTTAAGCCAGTCTCATACTTTTTTAAAAACACTTTGGCTCCTGATGTTGCTACATCACCCCAGGAGGAAGAATTTTGTGCCGATGTAGCATCTGTCGGAGACTAAGATTCATTTCAGTGTTCCAAGAAACTAAGATAGAGCAGGCAGGAGACTACAGAGTTAGTAGAAAGTTGGATAAATTCTGGCTGATACAAGTGGCAGGGAGACACGAAATTTCTGATCCTAGGTAAGTAACAGGTTTCTTTATGCACAAGTCTGTACAAACAAGTGTCTGGCCACTTAAAGCCAGGGATACTGATGTTTGAAAGTCATACCTGCACTTGGGTTTTCCTAGCTGTGAGCTCCTTTTGGTCCTACAGTCTCTATCCAGGCAGATCTTCAAAGTGTGGAAAACTTCCCTGACAATTTACAACCACTTCCATGGAATTTGTGACAAGGGTCTGCCAAGAACTCCGGGCCATGTTGGACCTCGGGGTTGTAGAGGAATCCCCTAGTGCAGCGTTGCTCACACTGGGGGTCCCAGTCCAAAAGGGGGTGGCAAGGCAAGTACAGGAGGGTCACTAGTAGGGTCACCACACGTTTGAGTTTTCGCAGCCATGACCTCTTCCTTAATCCTCAGGTCTCTGTCCAGGTGGTCTTTGGATATAAGAAGAAATGTTCATGATTTCTCCTGGCCTTCAGAGCAGAGTGGCAGGCGTGGCAGCTGTTGTTAGCCATGCCAGTGCCAGCAGCGGCTCAGGGATGGTAGAAAACATTCATTTTAGTAATCGTGTAGCCGCAACAAATTTGATGGGTTGCACGATTACTAAAATGCTCCTGGGGGTGGGGCCAGCAGCCAGTGACCCTAAACTGAGAAGGGGGGAAAGGCGAGAGACAGACTCACCCTCACCCTGGGGCCAGTTGCAGAGGATTTGGCAAATTTTGACAGGGTCCCGTTACCCAATGGGGAACAGTCTCAGGGTGTGTCTAGACTACAGGGTTTTGTCGACAAAAGTGGACTTTTGTCGACAAAACTATACCTGCGTCTACACTACCGCTGAGTTCTGTCGACATAACGTTGACAGAACTCGGCAGTGTTGTCGACGGCGGTAAACCTCATTCTACGAGGAATAACGCCTTTTGTCCCCAGAGTTCTGTCGCCAGAAGGCGTTATTGCATCTACACTGCCCTTTGCGTCTACACTGTCATGTCGACAAAGCGGCTTGCTTTGTCAGCAGAACTGGATGTCGTCTAGACCAGTGGTCCCCAACCTTTTGGGGCGGGGGCAGAGCCGCGCATGTGCCGCACGCCCAGGGCCGGCGGTTGCGTATGCGCCGTGCGCTCAGGACCCGGGGCTCAAGAATGGCTCGGGCCGGCCCTGGTCACTAGGCAGGTGCACATAAATGTCCCGGCGGGCGCCATGGCACCCACGGGCACCACGTTGGGGACCACTGGGTTGGACACTCCATCT